CCAAAAAAACCTGCCCCAAACGGCCCCTGAGTAATTCTAGATTCAAAGTTTTCCATATCCACTGTCCATACACTTGGGTGTGTGAGAAAAAAAAAAGAAAAAAAAACATTAGAACAAGTTTTATTCAACAGCATTGACAATGCTCATCCATCAATATATATATATATATATATATATCTTAGTATTTTGTTTTATAATTGTTATAATGTATTAGGAGGCCGATTCTACAATTAGATTTTTATAATACTGCATAAAAAGGACATCAGAATATAGATCAGCCATAACGACAAATCGCATAAAAAAAGGATGAAACTCAGGGAGAGCAAATTGATCACCCTGCTATATTAATACAATGACGTAAATAATAAAAAGGCAAGAATACGAAAGTTGAAATATTATTATATCTAATATATACAAAGAATATGTATCAATGGTCTAATTGAATTGAACATGCAATTTTCTCCTATATCCTTCCAGCCAGCTATCAAAACCAAATCAGAATACAAATCAAATAATGGGAGATGGTAATTCGGGGGGAGACTCTCCGCAGACTTTGCAGAAGGGCTTTTTACATGTATTTTAATTGAAATAGAATAACCTATTGCATGATATTTTTGACTAAAACCTATATCTATCTACTTTTATGAACAGCCTACGGAGGAGCTACTTGGGGACCAAAAAAAGAGCTCCGAGGCATTGAGAATAAATAATCCTTGGGTTAAAGCAACTATCTCAATGATAGACTGCTCAGCAAGTTAAAAAGATCAAACCTTGTGTAGACAATGTGGTGTTACGCCATGAACAGATACTTCAGATCCTCCACGGTTAGACGGGTCTGCCTGCTTCCAAATTGGTCTTCTCCAAAAGCATACGCAACCATCTTTCGCTTCTTCTCCTATAAAAAATAAATGAAAAAATGTAAAGAACATCACCTCAAAACAAAAGCCTCAAGCACGGAGAAAGTCTAGCAAAAAAGCAAACTGATCACTAGGAGTAAAATGTTGTGTAAATAAATGCCCCAAAACAGAACCGGTTTTGTAGATAATGGTGTGGCATATTTGTTTTAGGGTTTAGCTTTCAAGTTATTCTGATAATTATGAGCCATATTATTTAATTTATTTTAAAATTTTCATAGTTTACCATCTTATTTATTTTTTTGGTGTTCACCCATAGATTGGCTAATTGTAGAAGCCCCAAAATTTGAGATTTGTTATAGCACAGATGCCACAAGAGGGAGGAACATGGGGAAAAGCAAAGAGATTTGAAAAATCCAAACTGGAGAAATAAATCTATAGGTTACGAGTAACAATTATTTTGCTCAATGTCAATCTTTCCATGATCAGTAAAATTGGAGGGACCTTTGCTTTTTATTCTATGATTTTGATGATTTAAACATCATTCAATTCTTTATGAGAAGTACATTATTATAAGTATCATTAACATAAGCATGATTACTGCTTGAAAAAAATTAGTTGAATTTATGATCTCAATGCTTTTAACCAATGACTTAACATGCAGTGCAGGTCATGCTTCATGCGTGCATGATGAGGATAATACTCTAATACCCAATTCTGACAAACAAAAAATTTTTGGCATTTTTAAAACATAACAAAAATTTAACATCCCCAAAATTCAATCGAATCGATTTTATAAAACTATATAAATCAAATCAATCAATATGATATATAACACGAAGCATGAAATTTTAACGTATGAAAAGATATAAAAGTATTAAGTTATAAATTTAATTACATTTAATTAATCTTAATTATCCTCCCTAATCCCGTATCCTCACTGTAGCCACAAACTCATTTGCACAACCATGGCCATGGAGATGAAAACGAAGAGCAGGGATTTATAGTAAGATAAATAAGTTCTTCTAGAGCCTTCAAATTTGTCCATTCCTCTCCAGATTCATCCTCCAGTACACTTCAGCAATTCAGTCCTGTAGAGGGGCTTGAATTGGGCGAAAGGCCGAGATGTTGAGAGTTCCATGGAGAAATGAGTAAGTAGTAAACCTCTTTTCACAATATTTGAGATATTCAGTTTCTTCCTTGCAATTCCAATTTGATGTTAGCCACAAATCAGTGCATTTTTTTCATTTTTTGTTGCCGCAGCGGGCGGCAAACTTATGTCGGCGACTACGAACTTAATTTGTGTGCTTTTGTATGGGCAATTAGCAAGAACCAACGAAGTAAAAAGAAGGAAAGTCAAGGGGGGACGAAGAGAGGATTTGAAATAATTTGTAAGGAGAATTCATGCAGAGCAACCCATTCAAAATAAATATTGGCATATATCTTTACGTGTGGGTTAAATTAAGACCTAAGAAAATAATTTATGAATATCCTAAAAGTTTTATAAATTGTAGGTTGTTTACACAAGGTGACAAGCTCGAAGCAAACGTGAAGAAACTCGTTGTAAGGCTACTCTGTCAATTCAGGTAAAATAATTCTGAGCTAACTTAAGAAAAATTACGATCTGTGGGTTTTCATGTGATTATGTGTTTGACACCATTGCATTTAGAATTTTTAAAATATTGTGAATGAATATCTGCATAGATGTATGAATGCAAATTTGATTTGACCCTACAATACTTATGATTTTATCATGCTATAAATTTGATGAATATGTTTATGAAATTATTGATTGCAAGTATTCGTTTACTCTAATTCATGCAATATAATGTCTATGATGAATGTTTATTACAAAAACTATGATTTAAGAAATGTGATAAGTGACATTAAATGACAGCTATTATATGAATATTTACAAATACAAAAGATAGGGAATGATGGGATTCTCGACCCTTAATATTCAAATGGAAACAACTCCGGGAACCATTAGGATTATATGGGGACAAAATGTAAGGAACAGTTGGTATCAGAGAGCTATTGATAACTATTATGTTGTGAGGATCCAAACTTTATCACTAATTAATGCAGCCTCCATACTAGGTGACGTCCCAATTACATAGCATGACAGAAAAAATTGAGGCATCTATAATTATAAATGTCATTCTTATAATTGGATTGATAACTCTTATGAATATGCTTATGATTTCACATGAGTGGATGAAATACATGCTTTAAATAAGTCATGATAACCTATCTTAAATGTCTTTTCTTTTCAATATTTTAAACGATCATAGCATGTTGTGATATGTGTTGTGGACATGTACACAAGTTACATGTGAGCATGCATGTTTGTTTTCCGTCTAAAAAATATTATTTTAACTCTGATTATTTTGCTGAACTTGTTGTAGCTAACTCTAAGTTGTCAACTTTCAAAAAGGAGCATCAAGGCGAGTAACCACATATGACATGTACAGTTTTTGCATTGCATAGTTTTGAGAGTTTGTACATACTTTTTGATACATATTTTTTTTATATTGTATTTAACAATTTTGTATATGTGTGTGTGTTTGGATGATATAGACTTCTACACTTGTGAGTATATGTGAATGTGAATGAATTATGAAAAGAAATGTATCATGTACATTTGTGGTGATTTAGTTATACAAGTTCATCAGGCAGGACGAGTGATAGTGAGAATTTAGTCTAACTGAATTATCCACCTTTGCCTCACCGCAGTCGAACCTTAAGGGAAGGGAACCAGTTGGGATGTGGCAGATACTCATATGCTAGCAATTGTATACTTTGTACATAATGAAGCAAAGAATATTGAAAGGTCATTTTGATCTAAAAAAAAAGTATTAACTATCAAAGCCATGCTACGTATTTTATTTGGTTGTTAGATGTGACTGATCAGTTCCCTTTGTGAGTTGGGAGTTCGTGAACACAAGGCGATACCAAGTTTTGCATTATGCTTGTTAGCATGGCAACCACATGCATGGATGGTGGGATGGACCATAAGATTGTTGGTGTAGATGTTGAGGCTAGGGCAGATATTACCTTGAATATTGAGGATTGCTTGTGAAATAATACAATTCTTGGCTTGTATCAAACTTAAATTGAAGCGAACAAGCCAAACGATGAGTTTAAATTTTGAACCATAATCGTTTTTATCCAATTTCAAGCAATGTGTGGATTGGATTGACCTGGCTCAAAATCAAATTTAACTGAGATCATATTATGCAAAGTTGAATTTGGTGGACATTTGCTTGACCCAACAGCAAGTTATGGATCATGCATGATATGATGACGCAAGTTCAGGATCCAATTAACCAAAATTAAACCAATTATATTTTTTTCAGAAGCTGTCTGAACTTCATCAAGCAGCTATTAATATAGACAGATTATTATCATTTAATCCTCTAAATACTATACCTTGAGATTTGATAAAGCATGTTTACCTGTAGAGCCAATATACGATCTTCAACAGTGTTATTCACAGTCAACCGAGAAACTGTTACAGGCCTCGTCTGTCCAATACGGTGTGCCCTATCAACTGCCTGATCTTCGGTTGTAGGGTTCCACCATAAATCTAGAAGAATAACATGACAAGCTGCTACCATGTTCAAACCCAGACTTGCAGCTTTCAGTGACATAATAATGACAGTTACCTGGAAAAAGGTAATATGTACGGATAAGTACAATTAATGATTTTTGTGGTGCTAAAAAACATCGCATGACAAATGAAATATCACCAGTGGTGAAGAAGGATGGATATTAACTAACCTCTGGAAGCATGTTAAAATCTTTTATAGCTTTCTCTCTAGCTGCAATAGACATTGTTCCATCAAGTCTCCTATACAATATATGGGAATCTTTTAAGGAAACCTCCATCAAATCCAACATTCTAGTCCATTGGGAGAAAACAATGGCCTTTTCTGTTTGTTTAACATTTGACGTTTGCTGATTAGACTGTTGCTCAGCAGAATTATCAGATGAACAACCCACTGAAATTGTACTGGCTGCATCTTCTGAGAAGACAGACGAGTCATTATATGGTTTAGCAGATTTACAAAGTGAGGGTGAAGTTTTGGATGGAGGAAGAGAGCACAAAATCTCAAGGGCGGCCTTTATCTTAGAAGAATGAGAGATGAGGATTTCTTCACAAATTTCAGACCCATCCTGCGCAGAAATTGAATTATCAGGGAAAAAATCAAGCCCTGGTTGTTCGAACAGACAGCTTTTTAAGGTGTCCATTGAAAATACAGAGCAACTACTTAGTTTTTCTCGACAGTTTGCTGAGGGACAAATGTTATCGTCTCCTGTTAAATGCTCACAAATGCACTGGTTGCAGAAAACATGTCCACATATGGAAACAACAGCATTCTCAGGCGGATCCTGCAAGGATGACAGAAAAATATAATTACTGCTAAATCTATTTTGAGCAAATAGTCTTGCACAATTTATATTAAAACTACTAATTATACACCTTTTCTTCTTTCTAAACCATCATTAATTTTTAGGTAGATTTGCATACATAACACCCAATTTCTATGTATTTACATATCTAAAACCTAAACTTCAACTTTTACATATGCCACCTTACCCATAAATAAAAAGGTGCATTTCACTTTTTAAAAGTTCAAATAGTAATATTTTTTTATATGATGCAAAAGATCTGGGTGGTATAAATATAAAAAAGTAATGTTTAGATGTTAGATATATAAATACATAGAAATTAAGTGATATGTACATAAATGTCCCTAATTTTTATTACATTTTATTTAATCATCTTCTACCTTATTTTGCATGATCAAACCATATCAATCTATTTTCCATTATCATATTTCCATTAAAAATTATTCTTATAATCCCTCTCAAATAATTGCTTCATCAATTATTCTTCCAAATTATTTCTCATGCGTCTATATTAAAACTATCATTTTCATTGTGTTGAACTTGTTTGTCAATCATTTCTTTATTGGTCAGCTCTCAGTTCCATGCAACATAAAGAACTAAGTGCAATTTTGCAAAATCTACTTTTTAAGTCTTCGTGACATTCTCTTATTATAAAATACTCGCAAAACTATTTCTCATGTTAACAACCAAACTGTTAACGGCAAATTAAATCCTCATTTTTTTTAATCTTTCTAAATGATAAATCCTAATTAAACCCCAATCACACCTAGATATCACTTTATCTTCTAAAAATAATAATCAATAATTAGTAGGAAAATTTACATAACTAGCTCACAAATCTTACGTATTTACATACCTCATATTTTACACACAAAGCACTTTGGTGCTTTAAGCCTATGCAAGTTCGATGAGGATCTATTACAAAAGTCAATTGTGATTCAAAAACACTTTTGTTACTCCAGAACTACTAATAACAGCAAATGACAATCAAATTTATCTTTAATTATTTCAACATGCCTGCACAATATTTTTTCCTTTATGTACAATAAATTAATTCTTATATTATTCAATATATCTTCTTAAGATTAATTGTTGAAATTAGACAAAAGATTTTTATTTCAAATAATAATGAGCTCCCTGCTCTATGTAATATAGCAACAGGCATATCAGTTCACAAAACAAAAAATCGGAATCCCTTTAAATTGAGAATCCCACAAAAAGAAGAAAAAAGAAATAATATGAAATATCCAATAAAAGAAATAAAATAGATATTGAAATATATTCTCAGTAAAGGAAACAACTTCCATCCTAATCAGCCACTTCCTACACTAATACAAATTATATGAAAACCATTTTTTGCCTCATATAGTTTTACTAAGTTTATGTTTCATAACCCTCCCCAAAATTTTATTATAAGGACTGATAATTTTAATTAAACATCAGTTACTATGATCCTAAACATCTTCTTTGTTCTTAAACTAAAAAATACTCGTGTGACGCATGGATAATAAAAAAATGAGAATATAATTTAATTATCAAATGTATTGTAATGGATTAAATATTTAGTACATAAATTAAGATTAAAACTTAAAGTTGATATATAGAAATGCATAGTGCAACTGATAACTGCTGGAAACTTTAGTTGTGTAACAAATCTTCAAGCACCACAACGAACAGAACCATTTTTTTTGAAATAAGTCTTCAGATAAAACCAAAATCATACAACTGCCCTTGATTCAATCATTAACTAGAAGTAAACCTCTAATTAAAGTCTCAGAAGTGAACGAATATCCGGTAATTTTCCGGTTTCAAAAAATCAGTAACAAAGTTTGGATCAACTTAGGTGTTATACTAAGATTTTATTATGTTTAATCTCAATCTACGTCAAACACACCAAGCTTTTAATATACCTATTACCAATCCGAAATATCCCTGACAGTTTGTTTCTCAACTTCCCTTCAGACAAGTTGATGCGTGAAACTCTAACAGTAAAATCCATGGGGCCATACAAAGAACCTACCATAAATTAGGACCAAGATCAAGGATGAGAATGAGACTCATTTAAATTCTACTTCAGAGAATCAATGGTGCGTCAAGTGAGATTTATAGAGATGCTAAAAAAAAGCTCTAGGAAAATCTTCAAAAAATTACTAGTATTGCTGGGTTTCAAGCACCAGATGTAAAAACTGAAGAGTTGTGTTAGGTAGTCAACAACTAGTATAAAAATTATAAAAAAAAATCATGATATAAATCGTTTTAATCATTTGAATAAATGTTAAGGCATTTGCTGGAAGCGATGCCGATATGACCTAAATAGTGAAAAGTGTGCAAGAGCCGCTACGTCAGCGCCTGGGTGTAGTATCAAATAAGCAAGGATTCCCACATTACAAACTGATTCAAGAAAAGAAGTTAAGTCTATGAAACTAATATTATGATAGGATCTTGGAATATAAGTACTCTCACAGGTAAATTAAGGGAATTAGTTGATATTATGATTCATAGAAAGATAAATATCTTATGTAGTCAAGAAACTAAATGGGTTGGAGAAAAGGATAAGGATATTGAAAGCTTGGGTTTTAAACTTTAGTATTAAAAAAAAAGCAGCACTAAAAAATTGTATGTGTAATTATAGATAAAGAGTTTGAAAGATAATGTCGTAAAAATTAATAGAATTGGAGATAGAATTATAGCTCTAATGCTAGTTATTGATACTTAAATTTTTAATATTATAAGCGCTTATGCTCCTCAAGTAAGTTGAGATATAGGTTCCAAAGAAAAATTGTGAAATGATCTAGAAGAATTATTATAAATAATATCTCTTAAAGAAAAAATTTTATCGAAGATCTCAATGTACATGTCGGTAAAGTGGTAGAAGATTTTAGAAAATTTTTGGTGGCTATGGTTTTCAAGTGATTAATGAAAAAGGTAATCATATTAGATGTTGCTTTAGCATATGATTTTCTTATAGCTAATACTTTATCGAAGAAAAGAGATTAGCAATATTATTACTTATAAGAATGGATCTAATAAAATACAAAATGATTATTTTCTTGTGAGAAGAAGAAATCGTAGATAATATAAAGATTGAAAGATCATTCAAAATAAAAATATCGATACCCAACATCGATTATTAGTTTTTGGATTTTAAGATAAAGAGTTGTAAAATAAATAATACTAAAAATCATTATCATAAAATTAGATTGGGTCATCTAAAAGACAAATAAAATTATTTTATAAGTGAACTTCAAGATTTCGAAATTTTGGATGTTCATGAAGAACCAAATTTTATGTGGAACAAAATAACAAACACTATTGAATAAATGACAAAAAATGTACTTGGAAAATCAAAAAAATGATTTTTATAAACAAAAAATGGTTTGTGATGGAATAAAGATGTGCAAGAAAAAATAAAATATAAGAAGCTATGTTATAAAAATTATTTTAAATGTAAAAGCTTCGAGAAATGAGAAAAATATAAAATGGCACGTAGGGAGTCTAAGAGAACAATCTGTAACGCTAAAAAATCTGTTTTTAGTGATCTTTATAAAAGATTAGATATTAAAAAAAGTAAAAAATGTATATGTATGAACTAGTCAAATAAAGAGAAAAGAAAAGTAAGGATTTAGCTCAAGTGTATTAAAAATAAAAATAAAAAAAGTTTCAACATAGGTGGGCGAGTTATTTTAATAAACATTTCAATAAAGTTTCTGAAAATAACTATAATAGTCATAATATCTTTCATAATAATAAAATATTTCATTTTTATCATCGCATTAGTTAAGAATAGTTGAGAAGGCTTCAAGGAAAACCACGGGTGGAAATTCTGTAGGACGTGATGATATCCCAATTGAAGTATGAAAATATTTAAGAGTTTGCGAGTTTCTTGGCTAACTAAACCTTTTAATACAATTTTAAAAATTAAAAAGATGTCTGAGGAGTAGAGGAAGAGTATTTTAATCTCATCTTTAAGAATAAAGAGATGCACAAGAGTGTGCAAATTATAGAGGAATTAAGTTGATGTGTCATACTTAAAATTATGAGAGGGTAATCAAACATAAGTTAAGACGTATACAAAGATTTTTCATTATTAGTTTGGATTTATGCTGGGCAAATCTACAATGGAAGCAATAAATTTATTGTAGTTTGATGGAGAAGTACAGAGAGAATAAAGAGGATCTATATATAATTTTTATTGATTTAGAAAACATTTACGATAAGGTTCCAAGAGACATCCTTTGGAGAGTTCTAGAGAAGAAAGGTATTGAAATGACTTATAATCAAGCCATTAAAGATATGTATACTAGAGTTGTTAATTGTGTTCGAACACAATGAGAATTGACCAAATACTTTCTTATTACAATTGGCTTATATCAAGGAACGGCTTTAAGCCCGTATCTTTTTGCTTTAGTCATCAAGAATCGAACCCTTACCTTATTTTGCTCACTCTCACAGAGTCTTGTCATCCCGCAATCGCTACTCCCTCATGATTTTCTTTCCTTTTCTTATTCCCTTGATTTCACCCGATGTAATTAGCGATTTCTTTCCTTTCCCTTCCATCGCCTACACAATCCAGGTCGATGCACGTGATCTCACGCAAATTTCCTTTCCTTCTCCCGAGCTTGCTATCAAACCGCCTCTCCGCTCTATCAAAAGAGCATAGTAGGACTCCCCTAACCACTAATCTCAACTTAGTTCAAAACCATCTCTTCGTGATACAATCGCGATTAGAGCTAGCAGAGAAGGAAACAAGGGGTTCATGGCGTATAGATGCCACCAAAACTCCTTTCTCTCTCCTCCTAGCAACTCCACAACCCCATTCCTCCTCGTGTCCTTACCCCTTTTAAGTTTTCTTATTTGAATGACAATTATATATACATATGCGTATATGTATGTAGACACAAGCACACACATACACGCGCCAAACGCACAGATAAATATATATATATGAAATGATACCAAAGTTATCCCAAAGCACAATAAAAACAACAAATATTATTATTAAAAATAAATATGTGGATACATCAAACACATTTGAAAGAAAAAATAAAACTAACACAAACAAACAGAACTAAAATGTATCCCAAGGGTGGTAGAAGTTGACTAGTGGGTCGGATCCTTAATACAACAGACATAAACAAACACAACTAAAGTGTATCGCAAGAGTTGGTAGAAGTTGGTTAGTGGGTCGGAATGGTAAGATTGGGGTGTTGGAGGATGGCAGATTCAACAGACAAGGTTTCTAAAAGGTGGATGAGATGTGATAGGGCTTGTGGGCGGCTGGAACAACAACAAAACAACAAAAACAATGTGTTGCGGGCTGCGACAACAAAGGTGGAGGGTTGCGACAGTGAAGATAGCCAAGTAGGAGGCTTCGACAATGGCTAGTAACGGGAAAATTGTAGTGAAACAACAAAGATAGGTAGTCTGGGACGGCTAGAAGGTTGTGGGCTGTCAGAAACAGCATAAGAGAGGGTCGCAGGCTAATTTGGAATGACAACAAGGATTTTAGATAGGAGGTGGCTGGAAAAAAAGATAATTGTAGGAAAGAGCGGAAATGGCGGGCTGTCCTGGGCCAGCTAGAATGGGGAAAGAGACGTGAAAGCAAAGCGAGGGGTGCGAGGGATGCGAAGAAGGGAAGGTTAATGATAAATACTCCCTCGGGAATGAGCAATAAAAGGACCCACTCGATCTTTAAAAGAATGTCACCACGGCGTACGATCTAAAACCAGAGCACCACCCACCTTTGGATAAAACCGTAGAAGAGAGAAACTAGAACAATGACGGCTGTCCTGAACATAAACACGATAAAACTGCCCAAAATCACAAAATAACAATATATATAATACTAGGGTAACTAAAGAGGTCGCCATAGGGTGTGCGGCAACCCCAAGCAAACAAGAGGGCAGATTGGCCCCTGAATCGTCTGTACCAAGCAGTCCGAACCGCGTCTAGCGCGGTCTCACAGGAAACAAACGCTCCTGTATCTGACACGGGAAACAGGCGCTCCCGGGTCAGCACATCTATAATTATCAATAAAATAAGACAAAATATGGCATCAATTGCCAGTAGATACATGAAATATCTTTTTATTACATCATTCACAAGAGAAACAAGTCGAAGCTATGTTCATGCCACCCAGAAAACTAGGTTGTGGTTGAAATGTAACAATATTGTCTGTAAGAGCTATTTCTTGAGAAATTGAAAGGTTTGACAATTAAACAGTAATTGCACTGATAAGATCTATAATCTGAGATTAAAGATTATTATACAATCTTCATGGACAAAACAAGCTATCCACTATACTTATTACAACTTTTCTTTAAGGTCGTGTTGCTTCAAAGTTTCTTCCCCTATAAGCATCCTGCTTATTGAATGGCATCCAAAGCGAACATCTATATCACATTAATTTTCACAGCAGTCTAAATTGCCGTTGAGTCAAGACATAATGATATGAACATTAAAGATTACAGGGAAAAACAGCCCATTTTTATCGTAAGACAATTAAGTAATTAAGTGCATTGACTAACTATTTAGAAAAATTAAGTCATAACGCTCTTTTAATAATTTTAATTATCAAATAAATAAATAAGTAAAACCAGTTACTAAGCATTTGAGGCAAAATAGCAAAGATAACTTCTCGAGGATTGATTTGCATGCAGTCCTATCCTTTGCAACAGGTTGCACCTTAAATTAACATAAAATAACCACAAAAACAAGATCAAAACGTGCATTTGATTCAGCAAAGATTTTTAAGCATTATATTAATTAACAGATCTGCACATTCAATTCACAATTTAAGGGAAAAAAATAGATAAAATAAACAGAAGCAAACTACTCACATTGCAAATAGTGCAGATTGCTAAACAAGCTTCAAGACAGCTTAGAAGATCCATTAGTTTATCCTTTGGTAGCTTCTTTGCTGTATTCAAGGATGACTTCCAAACAGAATTTGAATCGTGACCTTTCACTAGAAGTGGGTGATCGCAAGCTTGCCTAAGCCGCAAAAGCATCAACAAAATGTTGACATAATTTTGCTTAACGGTTCCAGCATCTGCATAAACCTGAAACAAAGCAGCCAAGGAAAGTACAAAATATAAAAATAAAATCGAAGAATATCTAAAATATATAAATGAGGAATCTGACAAACAGATTGATGAGTGCATTGCTTCTTAAAGTGACAAACCTTAAATTGCTCCCGAGATTCAGCTTCCAATGCCAAATAAAATTCATGCTCTTTATCTGAGAAATCAACCCTTCTTAAAACAACTGTCTTTGGTGGCAATGTAATAACTGGCTTTCCATCAAGAAGTGTACCTATAAACAAACATTTTTTTATTAAAAACATAAACAAATAGCATTTAAGAGCACAGATAATCGCATTGAACAAATATACAAAGTCCAATTAGCTGAAAAATTGCATCAATTAAGAATTAGTCTGGACTGCTAAAATACTAAAATTAATTGAAACTGATGAATCCCTACTAGTGCAAGCCTATAAACAAGATGCAATACTTGGAAAAAAAAAACTGACAAAAGGAGCTCAAAATACTCACCAACTTAAGGATCCAAACTTAGCCAGATCCTGCAAGCACAGAATTGGGATTTGTAGCATGGCGTTAGGATCAGGGCAACTAAAGATAGGGTCAGGTAATAGTGATGCCCGATCTCATCTCCAATAAAGCATCCCTATTCCAACATACATTTTCCAACAATTTCATCTTATTAATAACAACAACTGTATGAATCCTCCGACTTCCATTTTTTTGCAGACCTATAAATCTTAATTGTGCATTTAAGCTTAATCAATCAATACGTAACTTAGTAAGCTAGGACTGATTTGAGAAGGATGACTTGAGATGAATTTGAGTTGGCTCTAAATTGGCCTCTTGTGAAGCTAGGAGTGAGTGGTTCGATTACATGGAGATCAAGTGAGAGCCAAACTTGAATGTTTCAAAAGCTCGAGTTGTGGCTAACTTCAAACTCTCAACATATTATAACATATACAGGTCGTGGATGGCAGGGAACAATCGGGTAGGAGGCATGCATGAGAACAATAAGGGCCCATAAGCCAAGATTAACTGTCTTATTATAAATATTTAAATGTTCAAGCGCCATATCATAGAATATATCACAAGCCATGCATTGCAGTTAAAAACAGCTAACGGGCATGAATGAGAACAATCACAGCATCCATCCATGCCAAGAGTGAAAGCTTAGCTTACAAATAATAAAATGAATAAAACCCCTGAGCTCCATATACAAAAACAAAAAGTGGGGTGGGGTGGAATATAGCATCCAGGACTACCGGACCAATTAAAAAAGCCTAAAATGCAATCAAAAATTGGCTCAACCGCTGTTGCTCCTAGAATTGGTGAAAATGAAAATTGAATTTAACAAAGAAAAAGAAAATTCATGAGAGATGATAAAAAGTTCCCAAATTCACAGAACATTAAGCCATCTTAATTGATACCTTTAGTGCGTCGCAACATTACAGTCTTTAAAACTGCTTGAAGTTTTTTGTACCCATTGGACGGATTCCGGCTGATTGGGATTTTTATTGTAGAGCAGAATGACTTATAGGCAGCATAAGGATCATATCTGAGAAATCGGAAATAGCTATAGAGATCATCAATGGCATTCTGGATGGGAGTTCCAGACAAACACCACCTTCTCTTGGCCCGAAGTCCCCAGCAAGCCCTAGCAACCTGAGTCCTGTGATTTTTAATGCTTTGAGCTTCATCAAGTATTACTCTAAACCATCCAACTTTTGAAAGAGGCCAGGCAGATTCAAGTTCTGAATTGCCTGACGCAATTTTCTTCTTTGGAGTTTTCGAACTTGCATTAGGAGAATCTTTCCTCTTCTTGCTAGCCAAATTTCCTACAAAAATACCACACCCATCTTGCTTCCCTCCCTCCATGTCATCTTTATCAAGTAGTGGCTTCTTAGGAACTTCCATGCTTACAATAGCATATGTGGTGAGCACAACATCAAATTTGGCAAGTTCGTAAGGGCTTTTTGTTCGATTAGTGCCATGATATACTAGAAAGGATAAATTCGCCTTGCTTGTAATCTTGTTTTGCAGTTCGTCAGCCCATTGTCGAAGAACACTTGTTGGACAGACAACCAAAGTCCCAGCAGCAGGCCTTCCCTTGATAGGCACAAAAGAATTGGCAATCTTCATTGGCTTGATATGCATGCTAGGGCCAGAATCTGGTAGCTGTTTCATCCCATTGGCATCAAAAACAGGGTCACCATCAGCATCCTCATCATCCAAATTCAGAGGTTCAAATTTACATTTTTTCTGAGTTACAGAACAGGAAGCAGATGACGGAGATCTTTCCGTGAGAATAAGTGCAATAGTTGACACGGTTTTCCCTAATCCCTGCAAGATCAGAACCCACAACGATCAATGGCCCACATTCCTTTATGTAACTTTACCCCCAAACTCTACAACGACAACAAAAATAAAAATCAAGCTTAAAGTAACCTGGTCATCTGCAAGAATGCCACCAGAGCAATTCAGTCCAGCAGTCTCCATTTGTACCATCCATGATAAAGCTATCCTCTGTCACAAAACAAACTACAATAGAATGAAATTAAGAACTTAAAAACTTCATAATTTAAGAAATGATTCCAAACATGCCTGATGTCTCAAAAGAGGAACTGCTAAAACGCCATCCGGTGGGCTAGCTTCAGCCTTCGGTTGAGAAAGACCCTATTAAAATTGCTTTGAGAAACTTGAAGCAACCATAGCAAGTACAAAAAGCAAAACAAGAAACTAAATGAACAGATTTCTACTAAGGATATAAGAAAAAAGAAATAAACAGCCTTGATAAAATATGGTAGGAAATGAAAAATGAATAGCAGTTTTGGATCCGTTACTGACAGTTGTTATCCTAAAAAAAAAGTAATCTAAAAAAGTAGCTTATCGCCATCATCATTAGGCTTATCCCAAATACTTGGGTTTGGCTTCAGGACTCTCAATCCAATTGAGTCATAACAACAGCAACAAGCCTTTGTCCACTGAGTGGGGGGTATACTACATGAATCCTTTTTCGGCATTGTGTCTTATTGAGTGTCATATTTTAATTTAATTTGAATGAATTAAGATAATTTTTTATACAACATGCACAAATCTTTTTAATTTGAATGAATTAAGACAATTTTTTATACAACATGCACAAATCTTTTTAGCTCAACCTTTCTTAACATAAGTCAAATTTAGAACATCTACTTTCCTAATAGAGTCAACAGATAGTCGACGTTTAACATGACCAAGCCATCTAAGAAGACTCTCTAATCTTGTCTGCACCGGAGCTACTCCAACCCTTCAGATACATACATACATACATACATATATATACTCGTTTCAACAACACAACTTAATTTTATGCTTCTCTTTTACAAGCCAGCATTTTGCACCATAAAATATTGTCGGTCCCACCATGATCTTATAAAATTTTCCTTTTAAGTTCGAACGGTACATTTCTATCACACAACAAGCCTGATGCGTTCCTCCACTTCATATATCCAACCTGAACTCTACTAAGAACGTCACAATTTCCATCGCCATCACTTTGAACAATAAACCTAAGAGATCTGAAATGTTAACTACTTTTAATGACTTCATCACCAATTGTTACAAGCCCGTCACTAGATCTGCCATTACTAAAACTATAATCCATGTATTCAGTTTTCGATTTACTCAAGCCTTAAGATTCCAAAATTGACTTTCATAAATCAATTTTTTCTTGAACTTTCTTGAGTCTTACCCACAAGAAGGATATCATCAACAAACGAGGTACATCCTCTTGTAAATGTCTAATAAAAACATTCATAAGATATGTGTTTAAAGTTGATCCCTGATGTAATCTAACTGAAATAAGAAAATACTTCGTCAGCCTTCTTTGTGTTCGAACACAAGCAGTAGTTTCAATATACGTATCTTTAATGACTTGAATATAAGTAATATCAACACCTTTCTTTTCTAGAAAAATCCAATGTACCTCCTTACTCTCTTATGTACTTCTCCATCAAAGCTCTCAATAAATATATAGCTTTCATTAATAACTTGTCTGACATGAATCCAAACTGATTTTGAGAAATATTTGTGTTCAATTATTCTCTCCCATAATTTTAATGTATGACACATTAACGTAATGCTTCTATAATTTGTATACCCTTGTGCATCTCTTTATTCTTAAAAATAGAAACCAATTGACACTTTTTCCACTCATCAGGCATCTATTTAATTTTTAAAATAATACTAAAAAATTTAGCAAGTCAAAAAATTTTCAAATTTTCTAAGCATTTCCACACTTCTACTGCAATACTATCAAGTATTATTGTTTTTCCACATTTATTTTCTTTAAAGCCTCCTCAACTTTTGTTTTACTATTATGACGTTGAAAAGAAAAAAAATTATTATTTATGATATTAAGATCACTAAAATCAATCGTATTTTATAATTTTAATTGAAAAACTTGTCAAAATATCTCACACATTGATGTTGAATATCCTCTTCAAAAAAAAAAAATTCTTTTCATCTCTAGTACATTTAACTTGAATTAAATCTTTACTTTTATTATATCTATGTTTGGCAAGTCTATACATATATTTTTCACCATCTTTAGTTTCTAACATATTATAGAGATCATTAAAGACATAATTTTGAGCCTCATAAATTATTCTCTTAAATTTTCTATGGGTCATCTTTTATTTTCTAGTTCTCCAAACTTTTACATCTAAATTAATTTTTCTTACAAAACTTTTTTTATGATTTCTTGCCCATTATTATTCTAGCACCAACTATTTCTATTTACAACAACTTTTCTTTTTAATTCATCAAAAACATTTTATTTACATAAATTATTTTAATTAACACTGTCATTGTCAGGTCCCAAACCTCGGATACAAAAATTGAAATGTGTTAGGTATTCGATAGCTAGCATAAAATTGGTCAAAAAATCAAAACATGCATATTTTAAATCCTTATATAAATGTTAGAGCGTCCCCTAAAAATGTCACGTTGTATGGCCTGAATATAATAAAAAGCATGCAAGGGTAGCTACACTGGTGACCGGGCGTAGTGTCAAATAAAGGTTCCGACATTACAGACGAATACAAGTAAAAAAATTAGTTCATGAAACTAATATTAAGATTGGATCTTGAAATATAGGTACTTTCACAAGTAAATTAATTAAATTAATTGATATTATGGTTCATATGAAGATAAACATCTTATATGTTCAAAAACTAAGGCCCCATTTGGGGCATCTTATAATTTCAGACAGCATTTTCTAAACGTAGTCGTCCCGTTTGGTAGCAGCATTTGGGCTTATCCGGATAATACACTTCAGTTTATTGAATAAGTGTAGCTCCCAAATCGACCCTACAACCCGCGTTCGTTCGCGTAACATTTACCCTGCTTGCCCTCCTGAGTCTCGTATGCCCTATCGCGCTTCTCCTCTCCGTCTCCTCTCCCTTTCCCTATTACTCTTCTCCTCGCTTTGTCTCCTCTTGTCTGCCCTATCACGCTTGCCTTTTATCTTCTTTCCTCCTCCCATCGATGTCTCATAACTAAGATCTATAAGTATTTCGTGAGTTTAACCGTTGATGGAATGGGTTTTGTTATAGTTTTTTTCGCTCTCTGATTTGGATTTTCTTGGGTTGATACTTCTCTTTATGCAATTCTTGGCTCTCTGTTACGCATTTCTATGGCTCTATGATTTAGGACATTCTTCGATTTGTGATTGTTAGTAAATGATTTTGGCATAATGTATAAGTTATGTGTCTGTTTACCTGGATAAGCCTGACCACCATGCTTCGTCTGTTTTGATGGATGCTTCTTGCTAAATCTTTAACTTTCTTGAATTGAAACCAGGCATTTGTTTTATGCTTCATTCAATGTCGAAGAACATGTTTAGAATCTCTATTTTATATTTATGGATGCGGTTGAGTCAAGAGTTTAGGATTGTGAAATTCAAGATGGGTTGCCATGAAATTAAGAGCTATTTTGTTTTGATGCAAGTAATTAGAGGTTATTGAAATTCATACAAAAGTTCATGAAATAAACTTCGGATATGGTCAATACAGGACTCCACAGCTCCATGAGAATTTCAAGGCAAATGTTTTCATTGCAAATGAATTTTATTTTCTATTTCTTTTCTACCCTAATCATTCATGGCTGAAGATTTTTTCTTCTTTGAACATATTTGCATCGACTTGATTGCAGAAAAGAAGTACTTGTTATTGATTGGAACATTCTTAATTGGAATATTCTTTATGAAAGTTCTTGTTTGGAACAATCTTGATTGCTTTCTTTGCAACTTTCTGTCTTGATAATTCAGTGCAAGGGATTTCTTATTTTCTGTCTTGACTTACCTGTTGGATTTGTTTTCATTTAATTGCTGGTTTTGGAGCTTCTTTGAGAAATTTGTGCAAGAACCTCACCTACCTAATGGTTTTTTTTTTACTTGCTGGTTTTGGAGCTTATATGCTGGTTTTGGATGCTATGGTTGTATAAATGGAAGTTTTCGTGTTAGATTAGTAAAAACATAAAAATTGGGCGCTCTGTACGTAAATTCCTTTTTTTTTTGTCACCGGGTCTGACTTTATTTGTTAGATAATAGGTTGCCCAATTACAAAATTTCATCTCCCTTCAAGCATTCACATTGGTTGAGACATAAACTACTCATTATTTTGCAGTGTTCAACATAGAAAGTCGATTAATAAAATAAGAGAGTAGGATCAATTGGCTATGTTTATGGGCTAGCAAGACAAATATTTGTCATGATTGTAAAGTTCTAAGGGCACTCTCCTTGAGCTTCAATATACAATATACTGGGATAAGCCCTGTCAATTGTCTTCAACATAAGCTTACACTTCCTTCAAAGTGGTATGAAGCTCAAATAATAAGCTCTAATTGTCATTCTAAACTTTGTAAATCATTCTCTAGAGATTACGAATGTTAGATCTCTCATGTACTCGAAGCAGTCTTTCCTATGCCCCAACACTCTTTGCTTGGATAAGCATTGCCACCATGTTTCGTTCTCATGGAAGCTTGGTAGATAGTATCATCTCTCATGTGGCTAGAATTACAATATATTAAAGTGTTCTCCCCTCTCCTCCTCTTTACACTCTTCAAATGTTCAAAATGCACAAGTATGTTATTTTTAAGATTGAGAGAACGTTTAATAGATTCTTGTGGATTTTTTTTAGTTGTGTCAAAAGATGATCTGATTTTGAAAAAGAAGTTAGATGACATGTTCGGTGGGGTTGTCGCAACGAGCGCTTATGCTTTCACTCCAAGCGAGCTGGGGTTTACCGGCTTACCAGAGTTCATGAGAACCGAGCAGGTAAGTGACTCGGGAGAAGACCCCAGCCAAATCCATAGGGATGTTTAATCCACATGCGGGTCAAAGCGGTCCAGGATGGAGAAAAGAAAAAAATGAGTCACATTCATCCGAGGCACAATAATAAAACTGGTTGAATCCTACACAGTTAGACTTGGTGTCGCACAGGGCGCATCCATTGACTGTCTTCGAGTACTAGATACATATCCTGAAGTTAAGGCAGAAAAAGAGCTCTATGTAAATTCTATTAAGTTGTTAGAGGACCCAACCCGCAGACAGTTTTTCATTAAGATGGATTTAGAATTCCGAGTCGATTACTTATGCTCTTTCATGGATAAATGACAGTTCTAAGCCATTATCT